TTACAGATAGATTTGAAGTGGTTTCTCTGTACAGATAGCACAGGGCACCTTTCTTAGAATCAACAGCAACATCTTTACATTCTGAGAGTCTAATGGAGTCTGAAGTCTAAAAAATGGAGTCTGAGCTCAGAGCAATCCCAGATCTGACTATGTGGTCTGCAGCCCCTCCCAGAACCACAAACAACATAGGGAAAAACTGCATATCAATACACACATATACAATTACAATATAGTAAGAAGTCTGAAGCCATTCTGCTTGTCACTTGCATTATTCCTTTTTTGCACTGAGAGATCAATAATTCATTATTACACTGGGGATCATTGTCCAAAGGCTTGATCCCACAACCATGTCTTCACTTTCTTCCTCAAGGTCAGGTGAAACAGGGCTAATCTAATTTCCCTGGGGAGGGAGCTCCATTGCTGAGAGGCCACCACCAAGAAGGCCCTGTCTTTTATCCCCACCAGTCATGCCTGTGAGTGGGGTGGGAACGAGAGTAGGGCTTCCTCATATGATCTTAACTTCTGAGATGTTTCCTAGAAGGAGATACGTTCGGACAGGTAAGCTGGACCTATAACTAGTATAGAAGGCTTGTAGAAGGTTGCTGTTTTCAACAGTTGGACACCCTGTTTCAATGCTCCAGTTCAATGCTATGGAATCATCAAACTTGGTAATACATCAGCCTTTCTGACATTCTAAAGCAGTGGTTCTCAACCTCTGTAATGCCACAACCCCTTAATACAGTTCCTCATGTTGTGTTGAACCCCAGCCATAACATTATTTTAGTTGCTACTTCATGGCTGTAATTTTGCTACTGTTCTGAATTGTAATGTAAATTTCTGATATGTAGGATGTATTTTCCCAATATGCTCAAATTTAAATACTGGTGGGATTGATTTTGTCATTTGGGAGTTGCGGTTGCTGGGATTTATAGTTCACCTACAATCAAAGAGCATTTTGAAGTCCACCAACGAAGGAATTGGACCAAACTTGGCACACAGAATTCCAGTGACCAAGAAAAAAAAATACTGGAAGGGTTTGGTGGTCATTGACCTTGAGTTTTGGAGTTCATCTATATCCAGGGAGCACTGTGGTCTCAAACAATGATGGATTTGAACCAAACTTGGCACAGATACTCCATATGCCCAAATGTGAACACTGGTGGATTTTGGGCAAAATGAACACTGTTTGTGTTTGGGACAAATAGACCTTGACATTCGGGAGTTGTAGTTGCTGGGATTTATAGTTCACTTACAATCAAAGAGCATTCTGAGCCCCACCAACGATAGAATCGAAGCAAACTTTCCACACAGAACCCGCATGACCAACAGAAAATACTGTGTTTTCTGATGGTTTTGTTGACCCCTCTGACACCCCTTTATGACCTCCGCAGGGGTCCCAACCCTCAGGTTGAGAAATGTTGCCTTAAGGCCATCCAGTCCAACTCCCTTCACCAGGGCAAGAAAACATAACCAAAGCCCTCCTGACAAAGAGCCATCCAGCCATAGATAGAGATAGATAAATATGATTCACACACACATGTATTTTTGTGTGTGTCAGGAGCGGCTGTCTACAAGGACGTTGCCCAGGGGATGTCCAGATGATTTAATGTTTTTATCATGCTTGTGGGAGGCTTCTCTCATGTCCCCGCATGAGGAGCTGGAGCTGATAAAGGGAGCTCATCCGCCTCTCTCCGGATTTGAACCTGCAACCTGTCGGTCTTCAGTCCTTCACTTCGCCACCAGGGGCTCCTACACATGTATATGACAAATATAGTATCATAGATTTGAAAGGGACCCCTAAAGAAGGACAATTATATGTTGCATGTTCCAGAGGAGACAAACCAGACAATCTCCCCATCAACACTGACAAAGAAAGAGCAAGAAATACTGTTTACCCACAAGCATAAAGAAATTACCTATATTAGAAACCAACAATTTCTAATTAATTTATTTTCCAGATCACCACACTGGGCCACAGCAACGCGTGGCAGAGGGTAGCTAGTAAATATATATAATTATAATTGGGCCAAACTTCCCACTCTGCACCCCCATGACCAACAGAATAAATACAAATACTGTGTTTCCTGATGGTCTTTGGTGACCCCTCTGACACCCCCTTGCAACCCCACCCCCAGGGGTTCCGACCCCCAGGTTAAGAAACACTCTTCTAAAGCGCCCACTGCCAGGACCCCATCATCTGGAGCCAGGGCAGTGAAAGCGGCGTCGAACTGTGTAGATGCGGGGGGAGTGGGGAGGGAGACGGACCCTGGCGCCCAATCAGCGCGCAGCGCGCCGTCCATTGGAGGAGAAGCGCCTCTCGCCGGCAGAAGGGGAGAAAGCGGCGCGGCTCTTCTCTCTCTTTTCCCCCCGCAAAAGAGAGGAGGGAAAACATATCCCGCCTTCGCCCGCCCTTTCGCAAACCGGTGCGGACAGCGCCGGAGCGAAGCAGCCGAACCGGAGCCTCCGCCACCGCCGCCGCTTCTTGCCTCAGCCTCAACTCCCATGAACACCAGGAGAGCTCGTCGGATCCCTTCTCCTCTGGAGTCTCTTGCCAAGGTGGAAACAGGTTTTTCTCCCCAACTTGAAGGGGACGGGGGTGGAAACCGAGGGAGATCCACTTTGGAGAAGCCCCTGTTTGTTTGCGGGGATCGGCTCGCATTTACTCCGGATTGCCTTGCAGAGGCAGCTCGTAGACTAAAAGGGGGGGGGGGATGGCTGCTCCACGTCCATCCATCCATCCACCCCCCCCCCCTTGAACGAACCCCTCGATTTCCCAAAGCGAGCTTTATGTGTGTAGTGTGCGTTTGAGAAGCGGTTTGAGATCGGAGTAGGGTGAGGAAGGAAGGAAAGGAAAGGAAGAAGGAAAGAAGGAAGGAAAGAAAGAAGGAGCGAGAGAGACTTCCCTTCCCAGAGAGGTAGAAGTCTCTCTGTCGCCCGTTGTTGTTGTTGTTGTTGTTGTTGTGGCGGTGGTGGTGGTGGTGGAGGGTGCATCAATAGTTGGTTCTATGGCCAAGCAATTTCAACTATCAGCTGGAGTATGTAAACATCCAGGGCTTCGATTCCCATCGACGGGTACCTAACAACCCAACGAGTCAATCCAATCACACTCGAGAATGAATCCACTTTAAATCCGGTTTCTGCCTCCTGCAGAATTCTGGGGTTTGTAGTTTAGGGAGGCTGCTAAAGCCTCCTCCCTAAACTACAAACCCCAAAACTCTGCAGCCGGATTTAAAGTGGATTCATTCTCGAGTGTGCTGAGGTCCTCGGTGAATGTGCATAGATGCAACCCTGCATTTCAGAATAAGAAGCTATGGCTGCATCTACACTGTGGAACCGGATTTGAAGTGGATTCATTCTCGAGTGTGATGAGGTCCTCGGCGAGTGTGCATAGATGCAACCCTGCATTTCAGAATGAGAAGCTAAGGCTAAGGCTGTATCTACACTGTGGAATGAATGCAGTTTGAAAGGACTTCATCCCAAACCCTTCTGCATTGTAGAATGAAGGCAGTTTGACACAACTTTCCCTGCCATGGTTCAATGTTGTTGAATGCTGGGATTTATAGTTTGATGAGGCACCAGCTAAATCCCAGGATTCCATAGCATTGAACCATGGTAGGGAAAGTTGTGTCAAACTGCCTTCATTCTACAATGCAGAAGGGTTTGGGAAAGGCTAAACCTGATGTATAATCCCTGCCCACGATAGGTGGGTATCAGGAAAGATTTGAGCTTTGAGACATTTTTGGATTGCTGTGTGTGTTCGGTTTTTTTTCAGACAAGCAGTATGTGTGTGTGTGTATCCCAAGAACTTGTATGTTTTGTTATTGCTATTTAATTATCCTTTTCCTTGGCATGCCCTCTTTTTCTCTCTCTAGATATATATTGCATGCCAAGATAAAGGATAATTAAATAGCAATAACAAAACATACAAGTTCTTGGGATATATGTATATATATACACACAAACACAGACTGTTTTCCCCAAAATAAGCGTGATTCTTTCAGGATTTTTCAGTCCTACTTCAAAATTAAACCCTAGTTACAGTTCACTATTTTAAAAAGCCAATTTAAATAATGTTCAAACAGTTATACCCAAGCCCTGACACATATTTTGGAGCAAAAAGGAATATAAGACCCTGTTTTACTTTCAGGGAAACAGGATATATGTGTGTGTGTATCCTAAGAATGTAAATAGCAATAACAATTGCATGCCAAGAAAAAGGATAATTAAATAGCAATAACAAAACATGCACATTCTTGGAAGAGATATATATAGCGCGCGCACACACACACACACACATACAGCTTGTTCCCCCCAAAATAAGACCTCCCTAGCATTTTTTTTCAGGATTTTTGAGGTTGCTCAGATTCATAATTTAAAAAGGCAATGTAAATAGTGTCCAGACAGCTATACATAAGCCCTAACACATATTTTGGAGCAAAAAGGAATATATAAGTCCCTGTCTTACTTTTGGGGAAACAGGGTTTGTGAGATATATATATATTCATTCATTCTTGGGATATATATATATATATCCCAAGAACTTAAATAGCAATAACAATTGCATGCCAAGAAAATGGATAATTAAATAACAAATAACAAAACGTGCAAGTTCTTGGGGACATCTCCCAAGAACTTGTATGTTTTGTTATTGCTATTTAATTATGCTTTTTCTTGAATCAACATAACTTGAAAACAATCCTCTTCAGTCCAAAGGATCTTGCTCAAGGCTTCTAAGGATCCTGGAACCATCTCTATTGGGAAGTAAATAATAAATAATAAATAAATAAGTAGCACCTCAACCCTCCTCCCACTCCTACTAAGGCAAAATCTCAGGGTATTATTTGCCTGGAGACAGGTCCTCCTGAGCTTACTCACAAGTCAGAATTGCAGCCTGTGAGATCTATGTTCCCACCACCACTCTCTCACCACGCCAACTAATCTCTCTCTCAATCTTTCTCCCCTTTCCCTCCCCTTTCCTCCTCCTCCTCCTTCTGGGAAAGATATGGAAGAACAAGACACAGAGGCAAAGGCTGGATTCCAACCCTAGCAGTCTGCGCCCTGCTCTCTCCCCGCTGTTCCAGCTTCCAGCTATCTGTGGACTTCACTGCTTGCAAGTAGAAGTGTGGAAAGGCATGAAACTTCAGGTCACTGGACTGCAGGTAGGAGAAAAGACTTCATCTTTTCTATTTTTGCTCTCCACCCATGTTCTTGTCATTTTTATTTCTTCGATTTGGTTGCTCACTCGGGATATTTAGCTTCATCCTTTTTCTTCTCCCTCTTTCAAAATTCATGAGAACTAGAAGTTTGACTTTAGAAATCAGATTCATCAATGAAACTTTGAAAACCTGGCTAATCCCTACTCGAGAGCATAGCACTCGGAGACCCCTTGAAATAAAGCCTATTTGAAATAAAGCCTATTTGGGGACTTGAAGTTTTGGGCTTGTAAGGATTGTAAATAGTTAGTTGGTGCTTGATGTGGTACAGCAGAAAGGAAACAGCTTTTAAGCCATTGTTTTCGGTAAGAAAAGCTGTCCAAGAACTGAATCTTTGGAAGGGCCTGTGGTTGACAATATTGTAAGTTCAATATTCCCCATCCTGGGATGCCTTCCAGATGGGTTGGACAATTCTAAAGATTCTTCAGGAAAAAAGTGGGGCAAATCTGGGAAGCATAGCAAAGGGGATTCTGGGAGTTGTAGTCCTTTGTAGCTTGAAAAAGAGGCAAGGTGGGAGATGGGTGCTGCAACTAGTCTGAGAGCCCATGGCTCTCCCTGGTATTTCCATCCAGAGGAACAAAGCAAAACATATGTTCAATGAGCTGTTGAAGACTTTCATGGCCAGAATCATTGGGTTACTGTGAGTTTTCCAGACTGTATGGCCATGTTCCAGAAGCACTCAGGAGAGAAAGCTTCTGGAAAATGGCCATACAGCCCGGAAAACTCACAGCAACCTAAAGCATGTTTTTGCCTGGAGAGGGTCCCATTTTGTAGTGAGTATTTTCAATTCAAAAAGAGACACAAGGTGTAGATTTGGGCAAGGATTTCCTCCAAAACTTCATGTGCTGGGCTAGGCCAGCAGGATCAATGATCACAGCCAGGAAGAGTCTTCACTGGCCATGTTCTAGCTGGACATGTGGGACTCCAGCACTCACCAGCCCTGACCAGCCCTGCCAACATTTGATGCAGAGTGTTGAGTATTGTAGTCCAGAATGTTGGAGAAAGTTGCAATATAAGGGTATATATCATCTACCTATCTAGTATGTGAACACCATATAGGAAACTGCCAAGATCCAAACTGACAATAGGGATAGATACAGAGCTGGTTGCAGTCATATTTATGTGTTTTTTCCAAAAAGCGGCCATTCCATGTTATGCCACATGGCTTTTTAAAGCCCTTTAACCCACTTTGCTTTATTTGTGAATTATTGTTTTAGCATAGTGTCTCAGCATGAACTTGTCCATCTAAGCAGTAAAATATATGTAATGAAATTTTAAAGGGGAATGATGATGATCAAGGAAAGGTATTTGCCGATGAGAGGAAAGAACACGGAACGGGGAACCATAGGAAGGAAAAGAAAGATTGTAGAGGAGAAAGGAGTGGGGACAAGATCTCCCAGCAGCTACATATTAGGGCTGGGCAGTTTCGTTTCGTTAATTCGTAATTCGTTAATAATTCGTTAATTTTTTCAATTACAAAACGATAACGAACCATTCTGGAGTAATTATTTAAAAAAACGAATTTTCAAAAAACGTTTTGTAAATGCTTCGTATTTCGATATTGTATTCGTTTCGTTATTGTTTTGAGGTCGTTTCGTTATTATTTCCGCATGTCTGGGCCAGTTTTATGGTTTAATTAGTGAAAAAAAATTATAATATCACACCAACAGTCAACAACAGAGGGAGAGGGAAGCTTCAGAAGGTTTTGGAGGTTTTTTAGCGTATTTTGCGGTCGCGTCCGCCATTAACGAATCGATTCGTTATTGTTTCGGAAATCGATTCGTTAATTTTTTACCATTTACGAAATTTCGTAAATATCGAACTTTTTAAAAGGAAAATTTTGTAATTATTTTAAATATCTAAACAAAAAAAACCCCCAAATACAAATCGATTTTAGAAACAAATTTTTCCGTTGTTACCCAGGCCTACTACATATATTTCAAAGTTGTATGCGAGTGCTCACTCTACATACTGGCTTATTATTAGGTGGTCATAACTCTGAAAAATGTTAGCCTGTCGTAGCTTCCTGTTGCTAGCATGCCTGCACAAACGTGACATATTCCTGCAAATTCATACAGTACCAGTTCAGAATCTTGTAAGACATGAAAATGAATTGCCTGGCATTGTTCCCTTGGTTTGGGAAGAAAGCCATTACGCTGGAGCTCTGGCTTCCTTACTTACAGAAATAGAAAATAAGTGGGGCAAAACAACAACCAGGGATCGAAATGATATATTGGAGAAGAAAAAGGGCTTCCATTTCCAGGTGACATTATTGGGAGGGAGGAGGTTTCTTGTACATTATAAGAATGGGGAGATCAGGTAATTGCAGGAAGGAAATGATTAAGATGAAATCCTATCTATACAAGAAAGTTTCTTTCTTTCCTCTTCCTTCTTCATCCCCTTCTCCAACTTTATCTGCTCTGTAATACTTATAGGTGAACCATTCACTTACTATGCATCTATTACATTTTAGTGTCCAATACTACAGGAATGCAAAGGATCTAATGCCAGAGTTTGGATGCTTTTGGATGAATTATCTTCCCATGCTCTGCTTGTACAGAAGTTTAATGAAAGCTCCTCTGAACGAATAGTCTTGAGAATTATAACTGCATATCAACTGCTTAAGGGTTATGTTAGGATATGCTATCAAGAGCAGTCACTGAAAAGGGGGTGCTTATGGGACTATCCTGCCTTCTATAGCAACAAGATATATTCCGAGCATTCCCTCTGTTCCTTCCCCCTCAAGCTTGCCTTGATGAGGAAATGTATGTTTTCAAATTTTCATGTTTTATGGTTTGTGAAATATCTATTACTGTTAAACAGCCACTTAAAAGATTTAGGCTCACCCACTGGCATTTTGTTTATGTATATAGAAAAATGTGCTTCTGATGTGGTGCATTTTTGGCATAATTAACATGAAATTCTAAAAGTGAGCATCCACTCAGGGTGCTAAGACGAAAACTCTCTCCTAATTCAAAGGTCTTGAGCATTCAAGCCGTTCCCTCCTGTTTTTCTCATGGAAAGATAACCCATCTTGGTAAGATCGTGGATGCAGATAGCATTGGTAAACCTATTTGGAAAAAATAAATAAAAAGAACATGAGCTTGCTTCCTTTCCTGAAATCCAAGATCACAAGCAATTCGTTCGTGAGTATATTAGGATACCCTGACTGAGCAGTCCCTTCATCTTCTTTTCATTTTCAGTTGACATAATCGGACACATGGATCAGTTATATGCATGTAAAAGATACTAACACTTACAAGCAAAAGAGAGGGACAGACTTTACCTACAGGGTGTTCTTGGTTCAAATCTTGGCATCTTTGAGGGATTTTTAAGGATGTGAAATAATATTAATTTCTAATGAATTAAACATGTAAATCATTAGCTTTGTTTTTATTTGAACATTGCCTGTTTTGTGCCATTTGAGGTTAGTCACCTTGAATCTTGTTTTCAGAGGATATTAATCTTATTTGTAAATAAGTTGAGAAGCTGGAAAGCTGTGGGCTACAGTGATCAATACCTTGATCGGGTATTACGTATTTTCAGTGGTCCCATGATAGGGTACACAAGGTAGATCTTCATGATATACAGATCTATACTTAAAAGACAAAGTGAAAAATAGCAACAGCAATTGGTCCTCAATATTTGACTTCAAATCAGTGGTTTTCTCAGTCCCAAAGCTGTGTGGAAGTTTATTCCTATTTGCTTCTTCCATCAGCTCTATTGTGCCAAGGAAGATCGTGGAAAGTCATGCTGAAATGGGGTTCAAGGCATTTTATATCCACATCTTGTTATAAAATGGGTTTGCAGTACATGAACCCCAAAGTCATTTCTACTTTTCTACATTCATAATCCTGTTTTTTAACATTTTATAATGACTATCACCCCTCATTATGTGGAGGGCTCTCCAGATGTGTCAAGCTCTCAGTGGAGTTAAATTCTGGTGGGATATTATTCTGATACAGTGTTAGACAGCGAGGTATTACAGGTATTTCTTGGGGTGGCAATGATCCCTTTTCTCCTGTGAGGCAATGTGGTGGCCCTTTCTTATTCATAAAATCATAGAGTTGGAAGTGGCTCCATGGACCATCAAGTCCAACCACTTGCTCAATGCAGGATCTCCAGATAAAGCATCCTTAGCAAGCAGTTATCTAGTTTCTTTATGAAGACATCCAAAGAAGAAGACACCTATCTTCAGGTAATGAGTCCCTTCTAATGTTCAATTGAAATCTACCCTCCTGTCATTGCATACCATTAGACCTAATCCTCCTCTTTGGAACAGCAGAGAACAGGTCTGTCTCTCCTTTTTGTGGCAGCCCTTCTTGGGTTTACTTGTGTTTCGCTATTTCCCCAGCCCAGGAACTCCAGATGGTTTGTTGTTGTTATGTGCCTTCAAGTCATTTCCAACTTACTGTGATGCTTAGGAAGACCTATCATGAGACAATATTGACAAGATAAGTTCAGAGGTGGGTTTAACTTTGGCTTCCTCTGAGGCTGAAAAAGTGTGACTTGCCCAAGGTCACATCGTGTGTTTCCATTATTGAGCAGGGATTTGAACTCTGATCTCCAAATTCATAGTTGAACCATACACCATGCTGACTTGCTGGCTCACAAGATGGCTTACAAAAACTAAAATGGGAAGATGATCTCACAGCACTAAAAGAAAGCAAACTTGTAGCATTCCATCCCCCCATAATAAAAAGGAACTTTCCCTTTTTCCCAACGGCTTTTGCAAGTCAACCCTTCCTCCCCTCCCAAATCTTTCATCTTATTTCTATAAAAGTAAGCTCCACTTTTTCTAGAACAGCCCTGAGCAGAGAAGGTTGCTGCGTGTATTAAAGAAAAGGAGTGTCTGGTGCCAAAAATGACAATCAAATGCTAATAACATAGTCAAATAATAAATGATATTGCTGCTGCAAAAAAGAACAATGCGGAAGAGTCCTGGT